CCAGAATGAGTGAGTATGTTCCGGATAACTGGACACTTCGAGGAGGAAAACTTCCAACAAGCGCGGTGGCATGATATTTGCTAGACACCGGACACTGCATTGACGAACTCAAAGCTTTCCTCAAAATTCGAAATATGTCAATGTCCGTATATGGTATTCTTCTAATGACATTTCGACATTTAATCTGTGTAGACAGCTGATTGAGAGCAAGCGAAATTGATCGTGAATATCACCAGTTCTGCTCATATTACTGTTACTTGGTATGACGGGGCGTGATGTCATCGGTTGCCATCCCCGTCAGTCGGGTTTGATTGAACTAAGCAATGCACAGATTGTTGTACAGTCCAAAGATGAAACGGGTTATGAAGAAAGGTCGCATTCCGCGGTTATTTCATGACCATGATCACACATGTTGTTGATCATGGTAAAAGTACAGTCTGCTTTGCTTGACACGTCCTGAAAAACTGGAAATACGCTGAAGTTTACCTAACCAAGTATGTGTGCACGCGTCTGACATGTATAGGGTGAGTACATTGGGTAATTTCACATTGTCTGTACCCGCATTCACACACACACACACACGCACATTTGACACGAGGGGAATCCGGCACGGCACGGTGGGAATCGGATGATTTGGCTTGCTTTGTGTGTGACAGACTGAATTCGATCGATATGTGTGTGTGTGTGTGAGCATGTTGAACACTTTAATTCTCATATGCGGCTAATCAGCTGTGGACGTCTATATAGTGTACTACGTAACATTTAGTTGGCAGTGAACTATTTTGAAAAGGATTTTTATTGTCATCAAATCGTCTGTCTGTTATTGTTTCTATGGCACTTGACAAAAGTTGATGACAGTTACGCAGTCCTCACTCCTATCTACAATTCAAGTCAGGTCACGAAAGGTTTTCTTTCACCTAAAGGGCGTAATTCACGAAGTTTTTCAGAGAATAAGTCAAACAATTTGTGGTTGATTTGTAGTAAAAAAGAAAAAAATTCATTCACGAGTCCTTCCTCTCCTGAGTTGGGTGACCAGTAACCCAGATAGGTATGGAAGTACACGCGGCATGGAAGAAGTTGATGTTTGGAGCGTGTTTGGGGACTCGGCATGGCTTTCACGATTTTTCGGGTGCAGACAGTGTCCTTGATCACGTGTCAAAACTCTTCTCCACTGTATCGGGGACAAAGATTTAAGGGATCTGGAACATAAAGCGAGTTCTTTTTCTTCCATATCAGGGATAAATAAATATCGGGAAGCAGTATAGCCAATGTGGAAAGATGTAGGCAATCAGGAATATAATAATTCAACTATATGGGACAGGTTATGGGTTAGTGTGAAACCAAGGTATTCAACAGATACAGACTGAGGAATGTTCTGATTGTTAACTCTAAGATAGGGGAGATTATTTACTATTGAACGATAACAGGGAGCGGTTTTAAGGCTAAATGGAAGATCAGTGCCCTTATTGGTATTAAGTACCAGGGATCGAGGGGGTACAGACCAACCGGGAAGTTTATTAGGGCTGTCCTGGAGAGATCAAAAATTGTCTAAACTAGGAGAAGTGCAAACAATCACTATATGGTCATCTTACTAGTGAACAATAAAGTTGCTGAGAGTAGAGTAGAGAGAGAGACCAGAATCAATGTTCACGGAAGATGACAGTGCCATTACATGAATTAAATTGGGCCCTACGCGATAAGTAATCGATCGGTACATTCAAGACTTCAGGAATTAGACCACACTCAGAAAGACGTTGAATAAACAGTCTTCGGCCGGGAGGGCCAAAGGCGCATGCATAATCAAGAAAAGTTAAACGAGCGCTATCTGCACTTTTGTCGAAGGCAAATGCAATAGATTGTACAATATGAGCAACTGTGTGTAGTATGGACAGATGGGACTTATAGAAAAACTGCTCAGGGTCATTGGAGTTACACAGAAGTATCATGCAGTGCAGTAAAACATTTTCAAAAGCTTTCAGAACCAGACATATGCAGGCAACCGGAAGGTACTTCGATGATCCATTCTTTGGGATTGGTCTGATCCGGGTTGACCTCTCTAATGATTGGGATTCGTTCCGGATGACAAACACGTACTGATCAATTTAGCAATAGGTGTTTCAAGCTAATCCACACATGCTTTCATAAATATCTGATTGAGATGTGTACGCACCTGATCGACCTTACGTTATTCGTGCTTGGAGGAAAGTGAATGCAGTGATTGTAGTAATAGTAGTAATACGTACGGAACTCAGGACCACGGACCACGTAATACCAATCGCGGAACACGAATCAAGGATCAGCAATCACGCGCTGGATCACGGCAGTTGCACACAATGTCCCACGTAACTGAGACGCGAAGAAAAAGCCACAAGAATGATAGTTCGTAGTTCGTTTATTCGAAGAAATAAAGGTGATTAAATAATATGTACAAAAGAAGATTATTGGTTATCTAGGCCTTCACCAATCGTCTTGCAGTATGGCTTGCGCCATTCTGCTTGTGTCTGGACTGCACTATCTCGGATTGGCTGGCACGATCTGTTTACGGGTATGTAATCAGAAGCAGTGACACGTGCGGGGCGACATCAACATCGCCTTTGAAATTCGATTGATCACAGGTGTCGGAAAACTGTGACGCGCCGCTCCAGGGTATGCGTCATCTCGTAGGCCCGGATCACCACAAGCTGGTTCCAGTTCAAGAGGAGAACTTGATGTTTAATGTCTCCTAGCTAGACACACGGCAGTTCATTGGTTAATTGCTGTTGCTAAATCATTCCCTACTTGGTTATCTTAGGTATTGCTCAACCTAATTACCTAAGATGGTGTTAGTCCCACTCCTGACAGCTTGATCCGCGATTATTTNTCATGAGCAGAAGGCAGCTGACGTACCTGGACGGCAAGACATCTTCTACTCTCCCCCTTGTTTCTCTTTTCAATGCATGTCGAACAATTTCCCATTCCTTCTCCATTCATTGGCTGTAAACACGCAGACATTTGTTGTTATAGGATGCAAAGGACTCACCTCTAAAGAGGTTTTAGAAATTCAGGGCGAGCTAAACGGCGTTCTTGGTTGGTCCTAATCCCGTTCCCTCTCAGCGAATGTCTCGACATGTTGTGTTTGCCTTGTTGACTG